ACACGCTGAGGTACTGGGTAACTGGGCGTAGCCCTGCTTGAGGGTGAGCCTGCCAGCGGCTACAGGGCCTCTGCTGAAGCCCAAGTACAGGAGGCATGCTAGAGACCTAAAATGAAGTCTTTCTACGTGAGAATAGAAGTGTTTCCACACCATCCAGTTCGTTACTTTTTATGGCTAAAAATGTGTGATATGTTTTATTTTGTCCAAGTAGACTACTCAGAGTGACGGTGTGAAATGGGCCAAACGATACAAAAATACAAATTAAAAATGAAATTAAAAGATAGTCGTGTGGAAATACATTAGAGATGTACCCACCTGTCAGGCCTGCAAATTATGTTTTTCCTTAAGCTCAGTTTCATATTTCTTGTGCAAATAAGTGTCCACAGTGCAGTTAGTAGGTGCTTTTGCCAGTGTTGAACATAGCAACTTTGGGACTAAAAATGAGAGACAAGAAATGTAGAGATGCTGTTGTCTCAGCATGGTAAGACTGGTCCACAGCATGGCTACGCTGCAAAATGATGCAAAGAGCCTGTGATACGCAAAGCAGTCGCTTGCAGAGAGCTCTCTTGTGACACAGATGGCATTTCTGCTTCCTGTGGAAGAACAGAAGTACTTCCATGCAACCCAGTTCATTAGGTTTTATGACTAAAACTATCAAACAAAATGTGCTTTTTCCAAGTGTAGTATTTCTAGTGCTGGTGTGCAAACAAAATTTGCTAAATGAAATCCTTAATAGAAATCTGAAGTTCATTATCTTAATCCTTTATTTCCTCTGGAGAAACCATGGTGCTGACTCCTGGGTATTGATGAAAGGAAATAAAGAAATAAATAAGCTTAGACAATGCTTATGAAAACTTAGGTAATGCTAGTCTAGCTCAGCTTGGCAAATTCCTGAGCTTGGCAAATTCCTTAGCTCCACGAATTTTTTATCTGTTTGAGTGATAAGGCTGGAAAGAAGAGTTACAGAACAAGAAGTCTACACATAAACCCAGCCATAGCCAGTTCTGATAAGGCTGGAAAGAAGAGTTACAGAACAAGAAGTCTACACATAAAACCAGCCATAGCCAGTTCTGTAGTTTGGGTAAAGGCCAAGAAGTAACTGAGCCTGCGTAAAGTTAAAAGGTTACTAGCGGTGACGAAGAGGAGTCACCTGTCTTCATCTCGACGACCACCCCAAGGAGGCACTGCGCAAATGCAGTTGGGAGGAGTTTATGGAAATGACTTCTTGGAACTAATTTTAATTTGAAGCGGGAAAGGTTATGCATACGTATAGGTGTATAGAAATATGCAAAATAGAACTGTGTAAGTTATAGATGGCTTGGCGATATCAGCGCGGCCGTCTTTGGTGGTGCTAACCCCCGTGCGCGCAGCGCTGAATAAAACATACCTACTTTACAGTCGGAGGATTGTGGAATCTCATCTTTTCCGCAAGTCAGTATGACCTGGGATCCTGTAGAGATCAGTTACAAGTCCCCAAGGAAATAGTTATACCAGAAGACTACTTTAAAAAACTTCCCTGGAAGTTTTGCAGCAAATACAGTATTGTACAATACAATATAATAATGCGTTATATATAAGAAGTACATATCAAGACTAATTTTTTAACACTTAATTGAAATAAGAATCCATGTACTGGAATTTCATGTTGTTCTTAAGAAAAAGTAATGAGTGGCACAAGCTTCCTGAAGGTTCACATCTGAAGTTGCAAAGGACCAGTGGTTTCAGTATTATAGGCAAGTGGAAAGTTTAGCATGAATAGAGTAACACTGCCTCAAATACTTATTTTATAAACTTATCACCAGTGTAAAATTACATGAATATTAATCAGGAAAGCAGGTAGTAATTTCTCATCTCTCTCTGGACAGACTAGATGTAACCTACAGCTTAATTTTTTTCCCTGTGGTTACCTGAACTGGTCTGAACCTGTAAGTTGTGGTCTGTTCTAGCTACTAGATATAAACTGTTTCTGTACCTCTTGCCGACCATCATGTCCTTAAAGTCTTCCCTTCACATACATGTCTTCTTGGCTTTACTTAGGCCAAAAGCAGTACAACATTGCTTGTAAGCATTCTAAAGCTTAAAGTCTACAGAACTCTCTTACTGTATCTGAGTTACTTTCTAGTTTTTCTTTCAGTTAGCTGTAGTTTTTGTGCGTCCCATCAAGATTCAGCTTAATGGGATTCGCTCCATTGAACATGAGATTGCAGCAAAAACCCCTGTGCTTTGGCTTCCAGAATGCTATTAAGAGGTCTGTGATGGCAAATGTAAAGTGATATTCTCACTGAGTTTGGAAACAGTGTGAATCAGATATGCAATTGAGATTAATATTCATGTGGGAATACTTTTTTGCTTCTGAAGGAGGTCCAAGGGCAGGAAGTGGATGCGTAATAACCAGTTTGGCTTGATGCATGTGCTCAGAGTTTTAATGAAACAGGCAGCTCAACTATGTGAAAGAAATAATCACATACTTTCTGTTTTGTTGTAGATGAAACTCTATTTCATCTACCATAGTATAGATTCATAAATCTAGTCAGGTCCACTGAGAGACTTTTTGTCTGTGTTAATCGTTTAATCGACAGTCTTATGCTAATGTGTGTTTCTTACCCTTATTTTCTCAGAAGTTTTTTGTTGTTGGTGTTACATGGTAATAGCATTCCACAGCTTTGGAACACAAATAATTGAATTGTAGGAATAACTTACTGTGTTATTGAGAGGAAGTGAGTTGACATAAACCACTGTGAATATGTGAATAAACCTTAAATCCCAGCCATAACAATAGTCAAATGTACATTACAACTTAAATATATGTGCTATGCTTTCAGCATCTTCGTAATGACAGTCATTTGACTGCTGTAGGGAGAATACACTGGAATTTGAACTAATGTTATTCTTGGATTTATAGGAGAGCTTAGTTCACATATGAGGATTTGGGGTTTTTTTTTAACTTAGAATGGCTGGCTTTTGAGGAATTACCAATAGACCTGTAACCCTTCGTCTTTCATTTTTCTTTTCAGGCTGTTGTCCACACTCTTGATCCTTGAGGAGAAGGAAATGTTGATAAGAATCTTTAACTATGGGAGATCTTTACAGTTCTTCAGAAATAAGAGATAGAGGGACCAGTGATCCTAATTAAATACTCTATTTTGAAGCAGTTTATTGAGAATTTCAACTTGAAATTGGATTCTTTATTATATGGCCATACAAATGTCAAATTTCAGAATAGTCCATGTATAATAAGTGTAGTTGTAGGCCTGATTTAGATAATGGCTATAACAACACTTGTTAAAACCTTGAGGGTGGCAGAGAAAGGTTATAATTTCCTTATTGTCAGTGCTCATTTTTTTGTAGGCATTCTGCAGAATTGAGATAGTTATATTCATACTGAAAATGCAAATAGACAATCTCACAATGTACCTCAGAACTTGGAGGTTTTTCCCAAATCTTGGTATTTGAAGGGGTTTGTACTTTGGAGCTGTAATTTTTTAAGATAAATACAGAAGACAGATTGAATTCTGGGAAGATTTCTTTTTAGGCAGTTGCCTCCTCTTAAAGACCAGGAGCTTGGAAATGAATGAGGAGGTGTGTGTAATGTAATGCATCACATACAGACTATCTTTGGTGCATATGGAATGTAACTTCAAGGACTATGTGGATGTTGGGCGTAGGGAAATTTGTCTTATTCTCTGCTCTCTCCTGAGTCTGCAAGTATCCTCTGGTTTATAGTATTTTTCTTTGGAAACCCTGTTCTGCAGAGGCAAAACCCGCATCTCTCAGGCCTAGAAAGAAAAATTGAGGAAGATACCCTCCACAAATACTGCTGTATTTGATTAGCTAGTGATGCAGTAAAGAGAAGTAAATTGAATGGTAGCAGTTTATGAATTTTCATATGTTTTTATTCACATACTATTTTACTGTATTTTTAGTTTTCCGTATATAAAGTATGCAAAGGACGGATTAATCAGAAAAGTCATTCTTAAATGCAAATCCACTGAACAAATCTCATTGCAGCAAACACAACTAAGAAAAACATTGTTTATTCACAGAGCTTGGATGTGGATATGAGAAAATATGCTTTAGTCTGAAGTAGGTGTAAGACAGAAAAGCA